GATCTTTTTCAAAAATTTCTTAGCCAATCTCTTACAATTTCTAGTTTGCATGAACCTTAGATTCAGGTTGATAGGTTTTTTTCATTTTTAAAAATCCACTGGTGACCACATTGTTTTTCTTGTGAAACCTTCATAAGAGCATGTATCAATGATACCTTAATTTAAAAAAAATCTACTCATGAACATTGAATTTCTAAGATTAACTTAAGGGCAGTACTGATATCCTCAATATTGAGTCTTTACATCCAAGGAATGTATTTTAACACTTACTTTGTTTAATGTATGCATTTGAGTTTTCATAGTTTCATTACTCCTGGATAGATTGTGGGTTTTGTTATTATTCTGAATAGAATTCTTTTCTGCATGTTTTCTAATCAGTTACTGCTAATGTTCTCAAAAGCTGTTGCTTTCTGGATCTTGTGTTTGTTTCCTTGCTTAACTTGCTATTGGTTTTAATGGTCTTCAACTGATTCTCTTGAATTTTCAAAGTAAGCATTTGGATCAACTGAAATACTGATATTTTGAATTCTTAATTTTTGATATTTGAATGTTTCATTTATTTATTTTCTAATCTCTCCCTCTTTTCTTCCTTTTTTCCTTCCTGCAACTTTCTTCTTCTTCCTCCCTCCTCTTTTATTGGTCTTTTTGCATTGGCTACCATCTCCAGTAAAACATTATGCAGCAATCATGATCAAATCATCTTTACTTTTGCTCCTGTCATTAATAGGAAAGTTTCTAATATCTTACCATTAAACATTTTTTTCTAAGAAAAATATGGTAGTTACTAGGTTGCTTAAAAAAAAAGGTAGTTGCTCTTTATTATAGGGAGTTTACTTAAAACCTTAAAGTTTACAGCTTTAGGTCATTTCCCTTTTTGTTTTATTTTGTTTTTGATAAGGAATGGTGTTGAATATTACTATTCTGGGTTGGACTCTTAGATGCAAATGTTGAAATAGAGCTTGGAGAAGAAGATATTTATTCGGGACCAACATATACAAAGGGAAGGGGCAGGAAGATAACTGGGCAGAGGTGGAAGCTAAACTGTGACACAGGCCCAGTGAGGCCACCACCCACCCAGCAGAGAGCGCTGGAGTGAATACTGCCTGTCAGAGCATCTCCTCCCAGGCCAGACTGGCCAGGCGTGTATATCCCGACCTTGGTCAGTCACTGGGCCTGGGCTGTCTCGGGAAGGGTGTGACTTGAGGGGAAGCGGCTCTCTGAGGCTGAGGCCTCCCCCGAGGAACTGAGAGCTGGAGCCGGCCACAGCATGCCCAGTACTGGAGCAGCCAGGCTCTCCTTGGAAGAGGTTCTAGGTGGTACGACTCCACGTCTACCACAAATATCACAGGCTTTTTAGCATCTACTGAGGTGATCATAGGATCTTCATCTTTTACCATGTTGTCATGATCATATTATGGTATTTCCTGACTTTAAACCATGCCTGGTTATAATACCTTATCCATTTCAAACTTTGCTGGAATTTTGCTAATATCTACTTTTAATATTGTTGTATTCATGCACCGAGTGATAATAGTCTCTGTTTTTCTTTTTGTATGTGTGAATGTTATCCTTGACTGATGTCAGCATCAGGGTTATGCTAGCCCCTTGCATTTAGAAATGCCTAACACTGAGAGCAACCACATCACAAAGCTGTTGGACGTGGCCCAGTTGCTACCTACAATTGAATCTTCTGGAATTTTTGTACCAGATTCTTATTTTTACTTTAACATCAAAGGTCATTAACAGGATTAAAAGTTTCACAGGTGTATTTGCTTTCCACGTTTCTTTCTTGGATTTATTTGTCCAGGTACAGTATATGCTTGAATGATTCTTTCAGAGAAGGCCTGTGGTGGCAAACTTCCCAAGTCTTTCTTTTATTCGTTGAATGTGTGCTCATTACTTCCTTCCCCTTGAATGCTAGTTTGGCTGGGTATAAGAATCTAGATTCAGAATTATTTTACCTCAGAAGTTGGAAGTGATTTTCTGTTTTCTTGCAGTCAGCGTCAGCACAGCAAATGAAGAATCCACTCTTGATTCTTATACCTTTTGTCCTGAAAATTTGTCACAGTGCATATAGATGTCTTTTCTATTCACACTGCTTGGTACTCACTGGCCCTTTTCAGTTGAAAGATTTGAGTTTCTTTCTGAGATTTTTTTCTCTTGAATTGAAAGCAAACCTGGAGATTGACTATGCATATGACCATCTTTCTCAGGAGAAGGTACCAGGGATTCTCTACCCACGAAATGGCTAAGAACCATCGGTCGGACAATGTCCATCACATGGAAGCGACTCAGTGTTGTTTTTATTCTGATGCAATGAGGAGCCAAAGAGAATGATTTTTTGGCCAGGGAACGATGTAGTCAAATTAAATTTCAGATAAATTTTCTAGCACATCTAAGGCTGATCAGATGAGGAAGCAGGAGGAACATTTGTTTAGTGGATTATTGGTTACCCTGTGAGAATTTAATAGAACCTGGAGGGATTATCACGGAAGACACACAGAAGTCAGTCATGGAAGTGCCAGGTTTACCAGGAGGTTTACCAAAAGAGCTATTCTTTATCAAACACCATCTCTTCCCGAAGTGCTCTGCGTACAGACTGACTCTAAATTAGCCCACCTTCTGCAGCCAGAGCTTTAGTTATAAGTCATAGTGAGAGAAACAAGGCCCCATTACCAAACTCTGAATCTTGGACCTTGTGTCCAGTAAAACTCCTGAGGTCATTCCAGCAATAAGCACAGAGTTTTGCAAACCATAGGTTTGCAAACATTGCCGCTAACACAGTCCTGCCCTCTCATGGTGGAATTTCCCCATAATCTGTGGGAACCAAAGGCAACAATGTTCACCAGCACAGGGAGCCAGGACACCTCAGCCCTCCACAGGAGCTGACACCTGCTTTGCCCCTGACCTCTCTCCTACAGCCTTTCCTGTTCCCATGTCTGAGACCCTTCTGGGCTATGATGAAGGCTTTTGAGGGCAGGACCCCACCTGATAACTCACTCAGCAGCAATCATCTTTTTAAGCACCTACTGTGTGTCAGTCTTTACGCCACCTTACCTTACAATCTGTGGGCAGTCTCCTTGCCTGGCTTGAACTCCTCTTCTGTCTCAAAGGTTCTTAAAACAATGGGTGCATTTCAGCCCAGTCACAGGATTGAGCTTTCCTGTCCCAACATCTCCCTCGGCCTTAGTCTACTCGCAAACACTGAAATCTAAGCCTCCTTTAACGGCTCTTCTGTTCCCTTTCCTGCCAAGCTTCTTGGACCAGTAGTTGACTCTCAGTGCCTCTGCAGCCTTCTTGGCAGCCTTCTTATAAAGGTCACCAATAACTAGCAAACCTAATATGCATTTAAAATTTCTTAGTCTAACCCAGCATTTGACCCTTTCATCCCTTGGACTCCAAGGCACCATCTTTTCTGTTATAGCAACTTCTGCTCTGGGGACTCCTCCTTCCATGCCAGTGCCATGGCACAATCTTCCCTGTGGCTGCATATACACATCCATGTGGAGGCCTTCCTGGCTCTGTCTTCGGTTCTCACATCTCTCCTGGTTCCCAGGCTTGACGCCTGGCACTGACTAGGTATGTCCCCAGATGTGCCACGTTGACACTGCAGCTGCAGCATGTTTGAAGCCCAGAGCTGCTGCAGTTTTTCTGGTAATGCCTCTGGTTCTGTCTCCTTTTCTGTCCTTTTAGACCCCTGCCTCAGTTCATGCCTTCACTGCCTCTTGCCTGGACTATGGTAATTCCCTCTTAAATGGTCTCCCTGCTTCCAGTTTCTCCCAACACAAATTCATCCATCCAAATAGATTTTCTGAAACAAATATGATTGTGTCACCACTGTGCTGAAACCTCTTCCACAGTTCCCCCATTGCCTTCTAGAAAAAGCCTGTAGCACAGAATAGACAGGCTTTTGAACCTTGCCCCACCCTCCTTGCCCGCCACCCGCCTGCAAGCCTTCTGGACCAGCCCAGCCTAGTCACTTCCTGAGCCCAGTCCCCATCCTGTTACCCTGCCACCCCCGGCACCCAGGGCCCGTCTTCCCTTCTCCAGGCTTCCCTCGGGCCTGGCAGTGCCTACAAAGGAGGATCCGCTTGGCAGTGGGATGCCTGCTGTGGAGGAGGGGTATGGCTATTGTGGACAGCTTTTTAAATTGAAAAATTTTCAAACATTCAGAAATGCAGGTAACAGAGTTAACGCCGAGACACGGCCCACCCAGAGTCGGGGAGGCAAACGCTTCGGCACCGTCCTCAAGCCTCGCACACACCTGACGTTCCATCGCTGGCAGTTCCCTTAGGTTCTTCCCAGAGCTCACCCCGCGTCCCGGCGCTCCTCGGCTGCCTCCCCGGGTGCGCCCTGTCCAGCCTGCGGCCCTGACCGGGGCCTTCGGCCGCCCCAAGGCTCTCGGCTTCCTCCCCACCCCTCCCAGTCAGAAGGATCCTGGTAACTCTAAGTAAGGTCGTGTCACTCCCCTGCCGCAGACCCCAGACCGGCTCCCATGCCCTTCAGAAAGGGGACGGCCTCACAGCAGCACCCAGCGGGCTGAACCCCACCGCCGCCTCCGGGTCCTCGCCCCGCCCCAGCCCCACGCGTGCCAGCGCCTCCGGGCGGGCAGGCGCACCCTGGGGCTTCGGGCCCCTCCTTCCCCTGCTTGTTGGATCCCTCGCCCTCCACCCTCTCTCGCCCTGCCAGGTTTTGGATCCAGTCACCTTCTCCTTGAAGCCCTCCTTTACTCACAGAATCACAACTGCACATTCCTCGTTCCGCTGCCCCATTCCCCGCACCCCCAACCCTCCCTCTGGGTGTCTGTGTCTCCGCAGCAGCTATCGACCTTTCCCAGTCTTGGGTGCGGTCGGCGGGCCCCTCGAGGGCAGGGAGCGGCGCCGGGGCGGCAGGCGCGAGCGCGGGCGCCCTCCGGGCCCGGGGCTCCGCGGGAGACGTCGGCCCCGCCCACCGGAGCCCGGCGCGGGCAGGCCCCGCCCACCGGAGCCCGGCGGAAGCCGCCCCGCGCGCCCGCCCACAGTGGGTGAGAGGTCGGCGGGCGGGCGCGTGGCCCGAGGGCAGCGGACCATGGCGGCGGAGGCGGCGCCCGTCAGCCCGCTCAAGAACCTGCTGGCCGGCGGCTTCGGCGGCATGTGCCTGGTGTTCGTGGGGCACCCGCTGGACACCGTCAAGGTGCGGGGCGCCGGAGCGCGGCGGACGGGGTTGGGGGTGGGCAGCCGTGAAACCGGGACGCGCGGCCGCAGGGCCGCCGGGAGCCCCGGGCCGGGCCGGGACCGCGGCGCGCGGGGTACAGCCGGGCCCGCGAGGGCGGCGCGGTGGTCCCGGAGCCCGGCCCTAGCGCCCCTCCGCCGCCTCCCCCGCACCCTCCCGCTGCAGCCTGTCGTCCCCGGGTGACCTCCCGTGGGAAGCGGGGGTGCCGCAGAGACCGAGCCCCTTCCGAGGAGGCGAGGGCCCAGCCTGGCCCGGGCCAGGCTGAGCCTCACGCTGCCAGGCCCCGCCGCCTCCCGTGCTCCTCGCGCCTCCGCCCCTCCCGGTGCAGCGCTGCCTCCGGGCCGCGCTGGAGACCAAAGTCCGCGCCCCGTGACTTAGCGCCCCACCCTTCATCCCGGCCTACCAGCCTGCCTGCTGGACGCGCACGTGGAGCAAACTGGGGCCGTTCTGTGAAGGGGGCTCCCTGGGGCGTCAGGCGGGGTTTCCTCCCCCGGGAAATAGCCCCGGGGCACCTGCCCCTGGCGGGTTTGCGCAGCAAGCTCTTTGCTGCCTTGCCTCCAGGAGAACACCTGGAGTTACTCTACAGCAAGACCGGCGCCAAAGCAACCCGGCCTGTCAGGGCGGGCGCTCTGAAACCCGAAGCCAGGTGTGTGCAGCCCGCGGGAAGGGCTGTCAGCGCGTCCCAGACAGCGTCTAGCCAGGGAGAACTGCCCGCCTTCTCTTCCTACTCTTGATCCACGAAGGCAAAGATCTTGTTAGTTCCAGGCGTCCGGGGTCTGTCTTTAGAGAAGAACGCAACCTTTATTTGCTGCCTGCTGCAAAGGTTGCCTCTCCTGTGTCCCCTTGCCTTTCTTCGCCATCAGATGTGGCTCCACGGACCCGTGACCTCTGTACTGAAGTGTAAGTGACTGAAAATGCTCGCTGGGATTTTCAACAGCCAGAAAGACTCTTTTTAGCTTAAAGCAAACCCACAAACTGCTGACTGCCGTCCCTTTGATATCAGAGACCCAAATGGAGCCACAGCACTGCATAGTTGGGGCTGAGGCCTCACACGGTGGGGAGGGCTGGCCAGGTTCCGACTGGAAAATCAGGCAGACCCAGACATTCTGGGCAGGGGGCAGGCTGCACAGTAAGACCAGCCATGGAGGACCTTAATATTCTGTGGCTTGCATGACTGATGTCATGATGAGACAAATATGGTATTTACACAAAATCAGTCGATTTTGATTCATTTTCTCTCCCTACTAACTAGGGGAGGTTATCCATCCCCATGGAGGGCCTCAAGGCCAATATAAGGGATTTGGGGTATAAAACAGTGGGAGCCTCTGAACTTTTCTGTTGTGTTCTATAAACTTCTCAGACTTGCACATCACCTTCATTGGCTGGAGTGGTTTCCTAGTGTAGCATGTAAGGCTCTAACAAATACAAGGAGAGGTTCTGAAGAAACAGGAACACCACGGTAAAATGGTGTTTTGGAAGGGTTAGTATGGTAGCAGCCTGAGAAGGGCATGGAAGCACATTCCCGAGTAGGAAAAACAGCCAGGAAAAAGACCTCAGTTATCTACTGCAGTGTAACAACTTATCCAAAACCTAGTGGCTTGAAACAGCATTTATGAACTCTGGAAGTCTTTGTAAGACAGGATTTCTGGAGCAGCTTAGGTGGGGTCTGGCTTCGAGTTTCTTGTGAGGTTTCAGATGTAGTGTGGGATCCAGAATATCTAAAGAACTCGTACAACTCAATAATATGACAAGTGACCAGACTAAAAAATGGGCGAAGGACTTAAATAGACATTTCTCCAAAAAAGATACACAAATGACCAATGAGCACATGAAAAGATGTTCAACTTCACTAATCATTAGCAAAGTGCAAATAAAAAGTACAATGATACCACCTCAACAACCATTAGGATGGCTGCTGTCAGTAAAACATAAAATAACAACTGTTGGTGAAAATGTAGAGTCATTGGGACTCTTGTGCACTGTTTTTGGGAAATGTGAAATTGTACAGCTACTGTGGAAAATAGTATGGAGGTTCTTCAAAAAATTAAAAATAGAATTGCTACATAATCAGCAGTTCCACTTCTGGGTGTACACCCCAAAGAATTGAAAGCAGGGTCTTGAAGAGATTTTTGTGGTCTCATGGGCACAGGGGCATTATTCACAACTGCTGAAACATGGAAGTACCCCTGGTGTCCACTGATGGATGACTAAGCAAAATGTGGTGTATGCATACAATGAAATATTATTCAACCTTAAAGGGAAGAAAACAGGCTACAGCATGGTTGAATCTTGAGAACATTAGGCTAAGTGAACTAAATCAGTCACAAGACAAATATTTTAGGACAATCCCACTTACATGAGGTGCTTAGATTAGTCAAAATCATAAAGGCAGAAAGTGGAATGGGCTGGATGTAAAGGGGAACAGGGAGTCATTGTTTAAGGGGTATAGAGTTTCATTTTTATAAGACAGTTTTGGAGTTGTAGGGTCGTGAAAGTTGCACATTATGAATGTATTTAATACCATGGAGCCATACACTTAAAAGTGGTTAAGATGGTGAATTTTATATATATTTTACCACAATTTAAAAAGTTGGTGAGGAAAAAAATGAGCAAAGGATCTGAATAGACATTTCTCCAAAGTAGATACACAAACAGCCAATAAGCGCAGTGAAAAGTGTTTAATGTCATTATCTATCATGGAAATGCAAATCAAAATCACCATGAGATACCACCCCCATCTCACACCCACTGTGATGGCTATAATCAAAAAGACAGTTAATAACAAGTGTTGGAAAGGATGTGGAGAAATTGGAGCTCTCATATGCTGCCGGTGGGAATGTGAAATAGTACAGCCTCTGGAATAGTCTGGCAATTCCTGCAAAGGTTAACCATGTGACTAAGCAGATCCAGGTGTATACCTCTGATGGTTAATTTTATGTGTCAACTTGACTAGGCCATGGAGCACCCAGATATTTGTCAAGCGTTGTGCTGGGTGTACCTGTGAGGGTGTTTTTGGATGAGATTAGCATTTGAGTGAATAGGCTAGGGAAAACGCGTTGCCCTCCCTTATGTGGGTGGGCCCCATCCAGTCAGCTGAAGCCCGGGCTGGAACAAGGGGCTGCTGACTCTCCTGTGAGTAAGGGTGAACACCTGCCTGCCTGCCTGCCTGAGCTGGGGTTGGTCTTTTCCTGCCTTTGGACTCTAGCTGAACCATTAGCTCTCCTTGGGCTTTGAACCTGCCAACTTTTGAGCTGGAACTTACACATGGGCAATCCTGGGTGTCCAGGTTGCCAACTGCAGACCTTGGGATATGCCTGTCTCCATCATTGTGTGAGCCAATTACTTATCATCAATCCATCTCCTGTTCCTCTGCAGTTTCCTGCCCAACACAGTACCTGAGGGAACCGAAAACATGACCACACAAAAACCTGTACACAAATGTTTATAGCAACATGTTTCCTAACAGGCAAAAAGTAGAAAAAATGCGAATGTCCATTATCTGATGAACAGGTAAATAAAACTGGTATATCTACACAATGTAATATTTGCCAGAAAAAGGAATGAAGGACCGATGTATTCTACAACACAGAGGAACTTTGACAACACTAAGCTAAGTAAAAGAAGCCCAGTGTGAAAGACCACGCATTGCGTGGTTTTATTTATGTGACGTACACAGAACAGGCAAATCTGGGGCACAGAAAGTAGATGAGTGGTTGCCAGGGGGAGGCGGGAGGCGGGAGGCGGGGAGTGACTGCTTTTGGGTGTGGTTTTTTCTTTTAGGCGTGATGGAAATGTTCTAAAATTGATTGTAAGGAAGGTGGCGCAACCCTGAATATACTAAAAACCATTGAATAGTACGCTTTATGGATGAATTTTATGGCTTACACATAGCTTTGTAAAGCTGTTTAAAAAAAACAGTACTAGGCCAGGAACACGCTCTCGCCACATGCACGCACGGACCATGTCGGTGGGCATCGCTGTCGGAAGGGCTGGCTTCCTGTGCTTCGCCCACATGCTGGGCGTGTGCGGGCTGCTGTCTGGAGGCCTTTCCTCTGCACATGGTCTCTCCAGGCTGCTTGAGTGTCCTCATGGCAAGGTGGCCAGCATCCCCACCGCAGATGCTCTGGGGTGGAGCCAGGCAGTGGCTGACTTTACCGCCTAGCTCTGGAAGCCACCCGCATCAGCACCGCCGTGTTCCACTCAGGAGCAGCGAGCCCCTGAGCGTGACCCACACTCGGGGGCTCGGCATTTAGGATTTACCTTTTGAAGGGGAAGAGTGTGGAGTTCAGGGACATAGATGAGAACCACCACACTGGTCAGGATGGGTGAGGACTTGGCCTCAGAAAAGATAGAGAGGAAGCAATTAGGGCTCTGGAAGCATCTTGAAGGATCCCTCCAGCAGACTTAGTGCCCATGTGGTAAGTTCAGGAAGAGCGACAGGAAGTAGAGGTGGCACTAGGTTTTCAAATCCTGAGGAAGAGGCAGCTGGGTGGCTCTGGCACAAGTGGCTCATTCATCAGGAGGGCGAGACTGGTGATTTGAGCAGGAGAGCTTCTCCAGGTATTTGGAAATGCATCCCTGAAGGTGGGGAGAGCAGGTCAGGAGACGGCTCAGGCACAGGCATCGCTGAGCATCGGCTGCGGTCCTGGAATCTGAGCTTCCTGAAAGGGGCACCCCTAAAGAAGAGGGTACTAAGCCTCAGAATGCGGCAGCAGAGGAGGGGGTGCTACAAAGGGGGTTTAAAGAGGTGCTTTGTAGCACTGGATCCACAAGGGCTCAAGAACCACGAGGACTAAGAGAGGCAGAATGAACTCCACGTCACTGCGAACTGCCTTTGTTGAGCGCCCTACCTGACTCCCAACATGCGTCTCTGGGGAGGTGCGATGGGCAGGGCCGGATCCTCGCCACAGCCCGCTCCAGGTACCGGCCCACCGCTTGGAATCACCAGGCTGTCTCCCCATCTGTAGGCTGGGGGTGCCAATCCCATCAGGCCATTGTGGGCTCCATCAGGCAGGAACTAAAAGGTGAGGGCAGTTGGGTGAGGAAATGAGAGGAGCTGGCGCTCCCTGAACTCATGCTACTCGGCGTGTGAGTGCACCGTGTGAGTACATCAGAGGGACGCGAGTCATGAGGCCAGCGGATTGAGTGGGCGCACAGCAGCAGCTTTCAATGTCCGGAGTTTGGCAGCTGGGCCATGGCTACGGAAGGCAGTTCTGGTCTGAGAGATGACTGTGTCTTAACTTCCACTTTCAGGTCCGACTGCAGACACAGCCCCCGAGTTTGCCTGGACAGCCCCCAATGTACTCTGGGACCTTTGACTGTTTCCGGAAGACTCTTATGAGAGAGGTATGGTATCAGAGGTGGGCATGCCCCTTGCTCAGAGGAGCACGTTCCTCCCGGGAGCCTGGCGCTACAGTGTGCTCTGTGGCGGTCTGGCGCACAGCTCGGCACGCTCACCGAGCCACCTGGGGCCCTCCTGCTGGCATCGTCTGGGGTCTGTGACAGCTCCAGCCGCTGCTTTCCACGGGTGACTGAAGCTAGTAAAATGGTTCCCTTTTGGAAGGCAGAATTTAGACCACAGGGAATTAGTGAGGGATAATTGGAGATGTGAAATGGAAGAAAACGCAAATCTGGGTCAGTTAGTTCAATACAAATCAGTGTCAGAAGTTTACATGAAGTCTTCAGGGAGTCAGCCAGCCTGGGGAGCAGTGAGAGGCCAGCAGCCTTCAAACCCCAAGACGAGGACATTAAGTTGGTTCGGGATTATAGGATACAATGATTTTTCAGCTCTTAGAGGGAAAACAAGGGTTTTTCTAGAATTTTTAATTATCAGTGGTATTCGTCACTTCATTCATACATGTGTGAGAGGAAGTTGCTGAGAACTTTTCCTTTGCTTCATAAAGGATAACTTCCACGTGAATGAATACTCTATTAAATATATCTATTCTATATAGAGAAATCAGGAAGGAGGTGTCACCCAGATAGAGAGGGGATGCAGGTGAGTGACCGGGTCGGCCCCTGGGGAGCTGTCCGGGGTCCCTGCAGGACCACAGTGTGGGAGGGGGATTCTTGAGGTGGAGCCTGCCCAGCCACCCGTTTGTGAGACGGTGCTGCCCAGCACAGAGGCTATCAGTGTCCGATGCCGTGAGGCCCCAGACTTCAAGTCTGCCCAGAGCCCTCTGCCCTCAGGGAAGAGAGGTAAGATAACAGACCTCTGTGTTGGCGAGCGTTACCGAGCCTGTGTGGCAGCCGGGCAGCATGCTGGCTGCTGGGCTCTGGTCTGAACGGCTTGTACGGACCCACCTGCCTGTGGAGTTGAAAAGGCTTCCTTAGTCCACATTTGTGCAAGTCCCTGGTTTGTGCTGCGCCTTTCTGAGCTCTCTGCCCTGGAGCTGCCAGACCAGAGGTCTTGGTTGTGCTGCATGGCGCTGTGTGGGTCACACCTCGGGGTGGAGGCAGGCTAGAAGGAACTGTCAGGAGGTGCGGGCTTGGCCCCTCAGGACATGGGTGTCCTCGGCTCGCCGGGGGAGCTGTGGATTACCTGGTGCCCTTTTAGATCTCCTCAGAGCCTCCTGTCCCCGTCACCCTTCCCCGTTTACTGCCTCGCATTATGTCCTTGGAGCGTCTGCTCACGGCCTTCAGCGAGACCCCGCAGTAGTGCTAACATGTTATGTGCCCCATTAGTTCTGGAAAAAGATGGGTTGTGAATGCCCAGGGCCTGTGCAGCCCCACCTGCTTCTCCTGCCTCTGAAAGGAGCCCCTTAACCTGGTTTCTATTTATTTTTAAAAGTACTCCTTTTTTTTGTATTAAAGTGGTATTGTCACTTAGCTTCTTACTGAAAGTTGTTGTAACAAAGTGACAGGGGAGCCCTTAGCTCTCCAGAGGCAGCCCCTTGCCGCTCTTTGGGTTGCCTGCCCTGTCTGCCCAGCTGCGTTTACTGCTCTCTTCAGGGCACCTTTTCCGTGCGTTAGCTGCTTGTGGAGGCGATTTGACTCCTGCGTTCCTTATCCCCTCTGCCCTATGCATATAATTTCACCCTACTTTGTGGCTTAGTCCAGTTCACTGTTCTTGTGATTAACAACTTCATTTTTTCTGTTAACTGAGTGATGTACTGTCATGTGTGCTTCATTTCTCCCGCAATTTTTTGTGTTTTCGAGGTTGGGTTAATCACTGGGCTGGTTTCTCTTGTGTTTCTTTGCATTGCTGTCTATGCCTGCCCGTATCCTAAAAGGTCTGTAGAATGCCTTCCTGTTTGCCTACAGTTAGAATGTGTTGTTCCAGTGGGTGTTGTTTTGCTTCGTCCTTCCTGGAGCCCTCCGTCCTCACACGCCCAGGGGGTCTGGCTTCTTCCCAGGTCCACGGTGCACAGCAGCAGCCCGCAAGGGGCTGAGCCCTTGGTCTCCCTGGTCCCAGATGGCCCTCTTCCTTGGCTTACTCCCCTTGTTTGTTTGGGATAGCTGTCTGTCTGTCTGTTGGCTGCTTGCCTAGTTGCTTTCATTACCAAGCTGTGTAAGTTGAAGTTGATGTGCAGCCTTACTACTGTTTTTAACAGTAAACACCCCATGTCTTAATACTTGGAAAATGTAAAAATCTCTTTATCGCCTGTAATCGTACCCTTAGGAAGTCAGATCACACGGTGCATCCTATTTTGTAGACTGCTTTTTTTCACTGAGCATCTCTTCTCATGATACAATGTGATTTTGTGGTTGTGTGAGAGCTCATTTATGGAATTCCCATAATCTGTCTCATTAATCTCCTATTTGGTAGTTTTTAGGTCCATTCCAAAATTTCCGGGCCTTATAAATGCCTGATGTTGTTCTCTCTCGCATCTCTTATTTCCTTAGAATAAATGTCCAGACAATTTCCTGATGGAGGGAAGGCTGCAGATTGTCGGCCTGCCGGCAGCACGGGAACTGCTTCCCATTTCCCCAGCAATGCACATGAGGACAGCTATTTCTGATAAATACGGTGGTTTTCTTCCCTTGAAAAGCTCTCCTTGCTGGAGGAGAGGCAAAGGAAGGCATCCGCAGGCTGGAGGACATGCTGCCTCCCTGCGCCAGCTGCCTGAAGGGCGGTGGCGTCTGTCAACAGCTTCCACTCCTGTGGTCTCTCGCAGGGCATCACGGGGCTGTATCGGGGCATGGCTGCCCCCATCATCGGGGTCACCCCCATGTTCGCTGTGTGCTTCTTTGGGTTTGGTTTGGGGAAGAAACTGCAACAGAAATGCCCAGAAGATGTGCTCAGGTGAGTAGCCACGGGCCTGGAGCATTTGATGCTGCTCTGCCTGGTGGTGTGACAGGGTGAAGGGCAGAACCTTGGCAGACAAGCACGGTGCCTTCCTGGGGCCCCTGGGGCTGGCTCCTCGTGGCTCCACGTTGGGGAGGTACCCGAGTGTGGCCTCACACCGACTGGGCCTCTCAGCATCATGCAGCACGTTCCTGGCGACTGGCCTGGCTGCCCCTTGGCCTGTGCAGGTGGCTGCAGCCGCAGCCCTGACCTCAGTACCCTCCTGCTTGAGGATTGGCTTAAGGTGTCCTCAGGCCCTTGGAGGCCCAGAGGAGGTGCAATCGGAGGGGAACTGAGGTCGACCGAGATCCAGATCCCAGGTCAGAGGCTTGTTTCCATGGCAACCCTGAATTTTACAGGTGGTTGTGCATGGCAGGCTCATGGGGGGAAACCCGTCTCCCTGTGAAGCTTCTCCTTCAGGGGGTCCATCTGAGTGTACGGCCTCGTGACCAAGCTCACACTGCTTTTGGCTCCGAGACCCCTGCCCTGGAAGTCTTGACATCAGACTACACCTCGCTCATAGTTTTTAGGCAAAATAGGATTTATCTATGCTGGGCTTCTGTCCAGTCCAAGCACTTGTTTTTTCTCATGAAGTCCTCTGTGGGGGCCGCTGTCCCGGGTGGTCAGGTGTTTGCCTTGGGTCTTGTTTTCAATACAGCTACCCCCAGCTGTTTGCAGCTGGCATGTTATCCGGTGTGTTCACCACGGGAATCATGACCCCTGGAGAACGGATCAAGTGCTTGTTGCAGGTAAGTGTGTGATCTGGGGCGGGGGCTGGGACCGGGGAGGTGGCCGGCTTTTCCGTTCATTGTACAATTTCGTGAGGATGCTCATGTCCTTTCACCCTTTATAAAGCTTCCAGTCAGGTGTGCAGAACAGTTTCCAGGTTTTCAGGAACATGAAATCAATCGTAATAGAATCGAGAAGCAGGACAGGATAACAGGGCAGCCAAATGTCATACCTGTGGCGTGGCAGCCCAGACTTGCCCACCCTTGTCAGCAGCTGCCTCTGGAACACCGGAAGGGGGGTCGCGCCTCATCAGAGGCAGCCGGGAGGCCGCTCCTCCCTGATGTAGCCAGTGTCTGTACCCATTCCGTAAAGGCTCAGGGCCCTTCGAGTGCTGGGCTTGTCCTGCCTTAGCACACAGGGCTCCTCAAAATGTCCTGCTGCTCTCTTCTGATGGCTGAGGTACTTGAAGGCGCAGTTCTTGCTAGGGGAGTTTGATGGTGCAGAGAAGCCCAGAGAAAAAAATGTATTTGTCCCTCAGGACACCTCTCCCTGGGTAACCGCTCTTACGTGTTCTGTGTGAATTCTGCTCATCTTTATGGTAAACGTGTATCGGGAAATGTTATCTTTTGAAATAAAGTGAGAGTCACATATTGTGTGGCCAGCCTTTTTCACTTGATAGGTCACAGTTTGCTATGTGATTATTTTCTCAATCATTACCTTCTGCATCTTACTTCATTATGTGGCTGTCATTTACCTAATAATCCCTAATGTGGGGGGAATGACAGATTATACACTGCAGGGGAGATCTCTGTGGACAAGTTTTTGTGAGTGTACCTGATTATTTCTTAGGGAAAATGTCTGACCTTGGAATCAGTATGTTTAACAGTATGCCCTTCTAAGGAAAGTTTTCAATGCATATTCCCAGATGGACCCCCTTTACAGGCCTGTCGCACTCTGTTCCCATCACTAGTACAACAGTGCCCACTTTCCAGCAGACCCTGCAGCATCTAGTTTACACTCTCTGCCAGTTTGATGGGTGAAAAATTGGCATTGTTTTAATTTTTCATGCTTTCTGTTGCTGGAGAGGTTTATTTTTGATAAATACCAGTTGTCTGTATTTTTCCTTTTGAAGTACCTACCTGTGTTCTTTGCTCATTCTTTTTTTTTTTAAGTAATTTATAAAAGCTTGAGACATATTAAAGTTATTAATTACTTATCATATGCAGCAAGTCTTTGATGGTTTCAATTTCTTAATCTTGTGTCTTAAAATTAAACTTTTTATTTTGAGTTTTTATCTATTATAATTATAGATTCAGTTACAGTTGTAAGACATAATACAAAGGAGGAAAGAGAAATAAATAATACAGAGAGATCCCATGTACCTTTTACCCAGTTTTCCCATGTTGGTAACATCTTGTTAAAGTATAAACTATGGTATAGTATCTCAACCAGGATGTTGACCTTGACACAGTCAAGATGCTGAGCATTCCATCATGCTAAGGATCCCTCATGTAGCCCTTTTATGGACACCTGTCCCCCACTCCAGTCCTTAACCACCTAGCAACCACTAAATCTGTGCCCCTTTTCTATAATTTTGTAATTTTAAGGGTGTTATATAAATGGAATCATACACTATGTAACCTTCTTGGATTGGCTTTTTTAATGCAATGTAATTTTCTGGAGATTGATTCAGTTGTTACGTTAAGAATTGTTCATTCCTGTCTGGCAGTCAAGTCCATGGTATAGATGGACTGTGGCATGTTTAACTTTTCATCCATTGAAGGACATCTGGGTGTTTTCCAGTTGTTGGCTATTATAAATAAAGATGTTATAAACATTCATGTACTGAGTTTTTTCTGAGAAAATCAGTCCTCATTTCTCTGGGATACATGCCCAGGACTACAGTTGCTGAGTCATAGGGTGGTTGCATGTTTAGTTTTTAAAGAAATTACCAAACTGTTTTTTGGAGTTGCTATGCCATTTTACATTCCCACGAGCAGTGCAAGTGAGCCAGTTTTTCTGCATCCCTACCAGCATTTGGGGCTGTTACTATTTTTTTTTTTTACTATTTTTTATTTTAACCATTCTGGTAGGTGTGTAGTGATACCTCATTTTAATTTGTATTTCCTTGGTAGCTAAAGATGTTAAACATCTTTCCAGTGGTTATTTGCCATCTGTACATCTTATTTGGTATTTTAAAGTGTTGAGTTTTGAGAATCCTTTAACTTAGATACTAGTGCTTTCATCAGATATGTGGTTGCAAATATTTCCTCCCAGCCTATAGTTTGTCTTTTCATCCTTTTGACAGAGTCTTTTGAGCAAACATTTTTAATTTTGATGAAGTCCATTTTGTTAATTTTCTTTTATGGATTGGACTTCGGATGTTTGGGGCACCGGCTCAAAGAATGCTCTACCTAGCTCGAGATCCTGAAGATTTTCTTCTACTTTTTTAAAAAAAGTTTTATCTATAGTTTTACATTTTACACTTAAGTCTGTGACCCCATTTTGACTTAATTTTTGTATAAAACATGAGAATTAGATCAGAGTTCTTTTTTTTTCTTTTTTTGCCTGCGCCTGTTCAGTTGTACCGGTACTACTACTTGAAAAGGCTTATCTTTTTTCCACTGAATTATGTTTGCACCTTTGTTAAAAATCAGTTGGGCACATTTGTGTGGGTCTGTTTCTGGGTTTTCTGTTTTCTGCCATTGATGTGTACGTCTATCCTGCCACTAATGCTACACAGTCTTCATTAGTATAGGCACATACCAAGTCTTAAAATTGAGTAGACTGAGCCCTCCCACTTTCTTCTTTTTTATAGAATTCTATTTCCATACAAATTTTAGGACACCTTAGAAAATTGAGAAATATCTTGCTGAGATTTATGTTAAACCCTAATAGGTCAATTTGGGCATAAGTGGCAATTTTTATTATGAGTCTTCCAATTCATGGCCATGGTATATCTCTCCATTGTCTCATCAGAATTGTGACTTTTCAGCATTTAAGTCCTGTACATGTTTTCTTATATTTACACCTAAGTCTTCTCTCTTTTTGACTTTGTAAAATAGCACTATGAATGACATTGTAATTTTAATTTTGTCTGTGTGTTCATTGCTAGTTTATAGAAAAACAGTTGATTTTTGTATGCTAATCTTGTATCCTGTGACCTTTCTGACTTCCCTATTTTAGGATTGTTTTTTTTCTTGGTAGATTCCTTGGAATTTCCATAGACAATCATGTAATTTGCAAATAGGGATAGTTTATTTCTTCATCTCTGATCTGTTTGCCTTTTATTTTCTTATTTCACTGGCCAGAACTTCTGGTACTATGTTGAATAAGAGTGATGAGAATAGACATTTTTGCCTTGTTTGTAATCTTACAGGGAAGCAGTCACAAGCTCATTATTAAATACAATGTCAGGTGTAGTGTTTTTGTAGATGCTCTTTATCAAACAGAGGAAGTTACCTTCTATTTTTCTGAGAGTTTTATCACAAATGGATATTGACTTTTATCAAATACTTTTTCTGTTTTGATGGATCATGTGATTTTTCTTTTAACCTGTTAATATGGTAGATTACAGCTGAT